TATAGCCGCCATGCTGAAGTACCATTTAACCATCACACTATACTCTGTTCCAGAAGTTCCGTGCATCATTGTGGAGGCTACAGGCCTTCTCAACCGGCGAGCACATCTAAGTGTATCCTTTCAGGCCCTGTCCTCTGCTAGCGACGCGCGCTGCAGCGGAAGCGGAAAGAGCGTCTCGGGACACTGTGCAACTGCGCAGTGAGATGGGCTGTAGTTGTGAAAACGGTTAAATGTTCTCCTCGGCACCGTAGAAGCGCGCGTCTTCGAGATGCTTGCACGTAGACATTTGAGGGATAGGGTTCAGTGGCTCATGTTTCGGTAGAAAGTGCCGCCTTAGCCAAACTGAATATGAAAGCACCACGCTTCATCAGATTTCGTATACGCATGCCTATGGGCATGCGAAGTGCCGCCCGAATTCAATACGAAATGATGGCTCTATTCCCGGTGCCTCGCCGTGCTTATCGTGCTCCGCTACTTACTTGTGCAGCGCGCGCTCGCTGGCGTTGGTGAACGCAGCCGTTCTCTTAATGAGAGAGCTCATGCTTGCATTTCTGCCGCCTTCCTTACGCAGTGTCCCGAACACAGTTAGAGCCAGCTGATTCGCTCCCTTGTCGCAAAAGCTGATCCGGGAACGATATCGTACAGGTGAACGAGGCGCCACCGTTTTGACAGGAGTGACCAAATCTGCCACAGCGGACGAATCACAACCAAAGACTGGGTCCTCCGTGGCATTGTTGACGCTCGGGCTGTGCGGACTACTCATAAAAGTTTAGACAGTGTCGTACCATTCATTCGTACTTTATAAGTAAAAACATACCACATACGAGCCACAACAGCGTTATTTATTTCGTCATTTGGATGTTATAACACGTACAAGCAAGAACTTTTTTTCAGTATCATGGAGTCACAAAAATTGTTTTCTACAGAAAATGTGACAAAATCGTCACACAAATCACAGCTACAACACACAGAGAAGCCTTCAAGTAAAAATCATCCGACGAGACCGCTTGCAAAAATAGGACAAACAACGGGCTACGTATACGGTGTACTACATCTCGCTTCGCAACAACCTGCGTTCGAGGGTCGTGTGGCCTTGGCTCTGCTGCACAGAACTTCTGGAACAAAGTATAGGAAGCTGCCTCCATGACGTCAAGTGCAAACTATCAATTACAACCGCAAGGGAACTGTACTCACAAATAGTTCTCGGACAATTTAGCTCTATACGTGTGACTGCCTGTGAATGAGCGGTGAATGTTATTGAGTATGCGTTCGTAACATATGTTTTAGCTTCACCTCTTGCTTTACTCACTAACTGGAGTTTTTACAGCTCACAGATTTCGGTGGTGGCGTAGTACAAGGTATATGTAAACTGGTAGCGTAACTTCAATGGAACCCCATGTATCCAATAGTTGGCGGCTTGTTACCACCGTCGCCATCTATGTATGGAAGTGACAAATAACAGCTAGCAAAAAATAAAAAAAAAACATCAACATTTTCTTTACTGATGACCTTTTACGTGCCGTTATATATACGCGATTTTATTGCGCCTGATGAGTCGTTAATGCATGCGCGAGAAAAAAAAAGACCAATAAGGAAAATTGTGGAATCAAAGTTGTCTTATTAGCCAAATGACGTACTTGCAATACACACTGAAAACTTCGCAGATGAAACTGTGACAGCTCTTCAGAAGCCCAATAGGATATTAGTTCACACACTCACGTTGCCCAATCGTGCAAAAACCACTGCAGCGAGGCAGTGGCCCTGAGAATATACCTTTGGCAACCTATAGTGTACAGCGTCTCGTTTCTCAGCGTGTCGCATTCATCCTCACCAAAGCGAGGGCACGCCGGCCGTGCGCAGCGAAGTCAGGATTGATTGATTGATTTGTGGGATTTAACGTCCCAAAACCACCATATGATTATGAGAGACGCCGTAGTGGAGGGCTACGGAAATTTCGACCACCTGAGCGAAGTCAGTGGAGCGGCTATCTACACATTCTGTGAGCTAGTTCAGCTCTGAAATGTAACGCTAGTAAACGGCACATAAGCAAATAAATAAACTACAAAAGGTACGCATGAAACCACCACGCAAAAGTGAGCGATGCCTCGTTGACCCGGCAATGCGCCGAACAAAACGCATGCTCTGATAGCAGATTGCTTGGATACGCCCCCTCCCTCCCCCTCCATTTAAGACACTCGAGCGAAAATTAAGGCAATCAACCATTTGACCAGGTGTCAGATAAACTGTAAAGAATTTTTTTAGTTAACTTTGACATATATAAAATTACGACTAATTAAGAAGTATCTTTTATTGAGTTTTCCGTTTTCGTTATTTGTCCCTCCTCACCTAGTCGTGCTTCGATCGCCGGACGGTGTTTTCCTTCCAACTTTCGCGATCCATGTAATTTGAACATGGCGTAGTATGCGAAAACTTCTTCACCGGCGCGAAATAAAATGCGGCCCTGCGCGGGTCGCGTATGCGTAATTGTGGGCACCATTTTTCTGTAGGTTACACTCTCTCGATTATTGGCTTGTCGGTGATCAACCGTTTCTGAAATGGAAATATGATGTTTTATTAGGGTCACTTGTTATTTCTCGCAGTCACATTTCATTGTTTTGTAGACATGAAAGCATGACCGCCATCGTGGTCTATATAGCAATTGGTGTAGCGCCTATATGCACGACGTGGATAAAAGTCCAATATTTGCGTGGAGTAATTAGGTAAAGATTTTGGAGCGAGCATCACGCTATATATGCGAAAGAAGGAAGGAAAGAAAAAAGAAATTAACAAAAAAAGAAGGAAGGAAAGAAAAAAAAGACCCCCTGATTCCTTCAACACCGTCTTACCACTTCGTAGGGACCGGTGTAACAGCGTACGAAACGATCAAAGTGTCAAAGGATGGCTTCGCCGTAGTGATCTAATGGCTAATGCACTCGGCTGCTGACCCTCAGCTCGGGGGATAAAATCCCGGCTACGGTAACTGCATTTTAGATGGAGGCGAAAATGTTGTAGGCCCGTGTGCTCAGATTTGGGTGCACGTTAAAGAACCCTATAGGTGGTAGAAATTTCCGGAACCCTCCACTACGGCGTCTCTCATAATCATACGGTGGCCCCGCCGTGGTGGTCTAGTGGCTACAGGTACTCGGCTGCTGACCCGCAGGTCGCGGGATCGAATCCCGGCTGCGGCGACTACGTATTAGATGGTGGCGAAAATGTTGTAGGCCCCAGTGCTCATATTTGGGTGCACGTTAAAGAACCCCAGGTGGTCGAAATCTCCGGAGCCCACCACTACAGCATCTCTCATAATCATTGGTGGTTTGGGGATGTTAAGTTACACTTATTACTAAGTGTCCGAGGTTGCAAGTCTTGCTCAATAAAAATAATTTTGTTTCCAATCGCGTTTTTTTTTACGCTGAACAAACCGTGAAAGGGCTGTTAGGAGCACCATCTACGGCGCATGCAGTCTATCGCGTGATTTTTTCTTGTTCGATTAAAGTGTTTTGTCTGTGAACGTATTCTGCCGCGAAGCAGTTTAACAATGGCGGCTCTGTCGTTTTATGACTCAGCGTCCGCAGACGTCCATTGGGCGGCCGACAGTCAGGGAATTAATTTTCTTTTAGCGATGTAGAACATTTTAATTAGCGAGCGCTTCACTTGTCTCCTTGACTGACAGACTGGGCGAAGCACGACTTGAGCCTCAGAGAGACATTAAAATTTACCTCTCTCGCTGCTACTAAAACAAAACAAAAATAAAAAACATATTCGTCCAGTTTTTGAAACTGCCTGGTCACATTGACGCAATTGGTTATTATTGCGAATGAAGGGAACGTATGGAGGGTGGTCGGCAATGTTGATCATTAATGAACTACATTTCTTTCCTCTATCTCGCTTTGCTCTCTCTGGGTCACGTGTTTTCACGTCGACCACTTTAGCAGAAGCGCTAGCCTAGTGCACAGGCAACGCAGTGGCAAAAGGCAAATCGCGAAATGTACAACGCGCCGAGATAATTTCGGGACATCATTGAGTTTGCCGCTACTTCCCTATCAATGTCACTTTGAGACATCATTGCTAAAACTGCGCAGTCTAGCGTGAGGTATCCTCAAAACTCCTGGCAAGAAAAAAAATATAAGAGGCATTATAGCTTTGCTCTCAGGCCACGCATTAAGCATTGGTTTGTCCGCACAAGAACCTGCGTGCATTGGATCGCGTACCTCTCTTCACGCAGCACAGATGCTGGCACTGTTGGCTCCATTCGTCGTCTGAATCGCGTTTTCACCCCCGCGTTTGCTCATGGTGTAGTTCGTAAAACATTTTTTTTTCATCGTTTGTCGTTTCTCTGCATATTGCCCACTGCAGGCAAGTGAAATTTTGTCAGCCGTGGACTTGGCTCAGTGGATGAGACTTCCTCTGTCGTAACCTCATTACATCAGTCAGTGTGAAGTGCCCATCTCATTGAATCGTTCGTGCACGTTCTTCTTCACGCATGCAATCATAACTTGGTCCCTTCGTCAAATTAACCTGAACACTTAGCAAGGCGTTGGAAGGCTCGACGTCACATTCATTCCATTTTATGTTGGTGCCTATCGCTCAACTTATTCGCTCGCCCATGCCCTGTTGTCATGCTTTAGAGTCCAGCTGCGTTTCGTCGACGGGCATTACTGCAGACCTTTAGAGCTAAAGCTAGATCACTGCCATCTGTGCCACTGTGAACAGAACTAACTCAGTCTCACTTGGTGTTTACCACTCAGTAATTTTCATCAACGTAACTCTTCGTTTTGAATTACGTAAGGTTGCAGAAAAAAGGAAGAGAAGAAAACGATTAGAGTTGGATATTTTACTACAGGACGACAAAATCGGACGCAATGTTCTTACTACTGTCGATGGCGCAAAGTAGGCGCGACAGCTCACCCTTCAGACTCTTGGTGATCTGCTTGCTGTTCGAGATCTCCGCTCGATGCGCGCTAGCCGAGAACGTCACGGTCGGCAACGACGAGAAGTCCACGCCACCATTGCCACCATTGTCGCCGTTGCCACCGGTGAAAGCTGCGGCCACAGACAATGGCACTGATGACATCTTGCAAGGGCTAAGAGACATGATGACCAGCGTCTTTGACAGCATTACTCCGTCTGTGATGGCCAAGACGCTCGCGGCCAAGATGCGTCCACAGTGCAGACTGGCCCTTCTCAGGACGATGGTGGCCCTCAAGAAATTGGAGCCATGGGCTTTCAGATGTAAGTAAACGCATTTTCCCTTTCCCCGCACATGGATCAGTTAGAAGGTCAACCACGAAACAACGACGGAAGTACGCGCGGTACGCCGTCGTTGAGACTGGCAGTATACCATGTACCCTCCTCTACCTTCCCAGAAAAAAAAATAATGAAGCATACAGGTCTAGAGTTTGACTCAAAAAGTCTGGACAGTCTGGAAACTCACACGTTCAATGTTATAGGGGGCGTATATTCTGCTTCTTAGCCGCGTTCTTGTATTTAATGCATGCCGACGTCGGTAGACCACGCATATTATTTGGCGCTCCCATTCTTGAGTAACGGTCCTGTTGGAACCACGATGAGGCACTGGTAGGTCGGCGATAGACAAAACTTTCACCGTGCTGTTGAGGCACGAAAAGATCCCAACTAGTGTCTTCTTATCTCTCTGTGGGAATTTTTTAGGAGCCTTTCATTTCTGGTGTTGTTTTCTTGTTTGGTGTGAATGAATAAACTTTTTACGTAGCCATTATATTTCTGTATGGCAAAAAATCATTCTGAGCGTGTAGGCGAAAACGTGACATGACTCGGTACAGTTCGTGGTGCAAGGAACATGCACATTAGTGCATAGTCTTTGCACCATACATTTATAAATTGTTTCTTGTAGGCGAAATTCGTACCATGGCGCTTTTGTAACCAATTGCTCAGACGCTCTCCAGTCTTATAATTTTACAGCAATGTCCACATTGTTGTCTCTCAAGCTTTAAATGTCGCTATAAATGCTGGAAATTTATTTGTGATCTTGTATCGGGGACGTACTTGTAGTGCCTATAAGAATAATTTGACGTCCCAAAATCGCGATGTGATTATGAGAGACGCCGAAATGGAGGGTTCCGAAAGTTTCTACCACCTGAAGTTCTTCAATGCGCACCTGAATCTAAGAATAGGATAGTTAGTATGAGGCACCAATTACCGGCGTGTTGTGTGTAGCGCAATTAATGCGGCTGATGCAGAGTGCGTAGCCAGCTCCCGTCCCGTCAACTAACGAAGCTGATAGGTTCCGCGAAGGCGAACGCGGAAAGACCCATGCACGGGAAAGAAAGGAGACTTCTTAGTTCACACGGTTCATGAGCGGAGCCGTCAAGGTCACCCACGTTCGGGATTAGAAGGAGAAGGCTTACTCGGAAAAGCGTCTGGCAAGAGGCAGGTCAGGCGCCACCGTCTGAGAATGACGCAAGGACGCAACCACTTGGCTGACCCAGACATAGTGGCGGCAGGGAGACGAGCATAACCTCCCCCGCTGTTGTTAGGATGTCGGGACGCCTCGCTGTCGCATGCACACCTGGTAAGCGTACGGAGCCCAACGGTGTACCCACAGCTCTTAGGGAGGCTTCCACGAAGCAATAATTAATGAGAGAACTGACGGGGCTCGAGCGTGAGAACGGCTGCCGACGGAGGCAGCACGGCCTGGCATGGGAGAGAGTGTCACACGCGCACAACCTATCCCCTTGCGTGTTTTATTTGGTAACGTGGTTTTAACCAATGCAGTGCCTGTTGTGAAGGTGTTTCTGCGATTGGTTGTGATGATGCAAGTCCCAACATGTCATTGGTGTTTGTGAAGACTCCTTGTTCAACCGAGGGTTGAAAAGAGGATGTTTGAATCTGAAAAAAAGAGCGGATGTTCGGTCTTGGACTCGGGCAGTAGCCTGAGGCTGCAATAAAGCGTCCCTTCACTGGACTACAGGTCTTCCTTCGCGCTGCCACCGTGCACTTGAGTCATCGAGGGGACCCATCCCGAACCTCAAACATCTTCCCTCCTGTGCTAGTGTAGAAGCTAGTCAAGGATGAGGAAATTAACTAGGAAACTCAAGAATTTTCGCCTCCCTAGAAATTGCGGTCGCCGCGACTGGGATTCGATTCTGCTACCTTCGGGCAGGATCGAATCTTCGCCTATATGCTTCAGGTTGTCGTTCGAGGGGCGTTGGACAGCCAGTGTACCCTGTGAGAAGCCATGTTGAATGTGCGCCGTAGTCGGGCTCATATAGTCATTTTATTTTATTGCCATTACCCCACCGTGGCAGTGTAGTGGCTATAAGATACTCGGCTGCTGACCCGCAGGTCGCGGGATCGAGTCCCGGCTGCGGCCGCTGCATTTTCCAATGGAGGCGAAAATGTTGTAGGTCCGTGTGCTCAGATTTGGGTGCACGTTAAAGAAACTCATGGTGGTCGAAACTTCCGGAGCCCTCCACTCTGGCGTCTCTCATAATCATATGGTGGTTTTGGGACGTTAAACCCCACACATTAATCTATCATTATTTTATTGTCATTGATGGGGGGGGGGGGGGGGGGTGGCTAATTTTTTCGTTGGCAGCAAGAGAGGGCTTCTGTTCTATAATATACTTTGTATAGCGAAGCAATGTTACACGTACGTGGAATAAAAAGCATTGAGTGAATGTAGCCCAGCCGTTCTCGGTGTACACTCCTGGTTTCACATGCGTGAACGGTGGAATTGCTTTGCTGTTGTATGCCCGGTAGTTAGCCAGATCTCTATAGGTGATAAAACACATTGGATTCGAACACACGCCCATTACTTCCTTACCGGTTCTCGGCCTTTTTGGCTAAGGTCAAAGTGGCTGAACCTCCTCCCCCTCAACGACACACGGACGTGGCCGGCGGCCGCAGCCGACAAAAGGTGCCGACGCTGCGGGAGGAGACACGCCGCATGTCCTCTGCCATTGCATGCGGCAGAGCCGCGTCATGACGGAGCGCCCCAAAGCCATCTTAACGCGCCTCAACAATGCGGCCCTGGGTCGGTACACAGTCATCGGAGAGAGCCAGCAGGTCTGCGTACTGTTATGCCAGCGAATCCTCGTCAAACGACCGTGCCTCTGAAGAAGGCAATCTGGGTCAAGGCCAGCCCGCAGTCGGCCTGGCGCGATCACCTCGACGGCGTGAACACGCGCGGCGCCCCCCTGGCCCACGTGCATTGAGTCAGCTGCGCGCGTGACAGCGAGCCGGCGTCCGCGTGTCTGGTAATCTGACGCATGGCGCGGCGACCCCCATTGGCGGAATCTGCCCTGACGACCAGCGGCGCTTCTGATTGGACATTTTGGTTGGACCCGGTGTAAATAAAAGAAGCCCTGCGGCGCGTCGCGATCGGCAGTCCTACGAGAGAGAGGAGTCCCCATGTCGGAGAGCCGACATGTGTGTTAGTCAGCGGTCTTAGGCGAAAGGCTGATCTATGTGTTAGAGAGGAGAGCTCGGCTCTTCGAGTCTCTGTCGGCCCCAGTGCCGAAATTGTAACGCCTCTGTAAATATGCTGTACATAAACCTTGTTTAACTCACCGTCGTCTCGTCCGCTCGTCTTATCAGCTCTGCGCAGAAGCAGTCGCGAGCTGATAAACATACGCTACCAAACGGCTGGTGACCTTCCCGGCGGAGTTGAAAGCAGTGGCGCCGTCGGAGCGTGTTGGCGTCGCCGTCTTTCGCAACAGTGGTGGCTTCGGCGGGATCGGTCCGTCTTTCGCAACAGTGGTTGGCAGCTGCGGGATCGGCCGGCGTCAGCGACATCGATGCGGTGAGTGCCTGATGTTTTCCCCTCAGTTCACCAGACTGCTCTAGCTCAGGTTGTAGTAGTTTAGAGAAGGGCTGTGTGAAGCATTAGAGTGAGCTTTGATCGTTTCAAGCAAAGTCGAAGTGCTTTGAAACCAAAGTTAATGCGGAGGGGGTAAACACGGGAGAGTGAAAAATTGCTTGCGCGTCTTGCTAGTTGACTTATAGTGGGTACGGCAAGTAAATTGTTAACAGGGGCAAACAGCAAGAGGCTAGTGTGAACGATGGAGAACCTTAAAGTGAAGGAACTCATCGAAATTTGTGAGGAACTCGGCATTACTTTGGGCCGTGCGAAACGAAAGCAAGCGATCCTTGAGATCATGAAGGATGAGGGAGTGTCGGCTGAGGAAGTCGATGAGGCCTGGGTGGATATTAAAGCACGCCGTGAGGAGGCTGAAAGGCGAGAAGTAGAAGCTCGCGAAGAAGCTGAAAGGCGCGAAGCTCGCGAAGAAGCTGAAAGGCGCGAAGCTCGCGAACAAGCTGAAAGGCGCGAACGTCGCGAGGAGGCCGAGAGACAAGAGCGCCTAGAGTTGAAACGACTAGAATTGGCAATCCTACAGTGTTCGCAGGCGCCTAGCGTAGCTTTTCCGACGATTCAGGTCAGCGGTTTTAGAATTCGTGACCAACTGCCACCGTTCGTAGTAGGCGAGGACATGGCGAAGTATCTCGTCAAGTTTGAACACGTCTGTGAGCGAAACGCTTTGGAGCGGTCTCTTTGGGCGCGGAACCTGCTAGCTCTTCTTCCCGGCGAAGTGTCCGACGCGATAACTTGCTTGTCGAGGGAAGCGTTTGAGAGCTATGACGAGGTTAAGGAAGTGCTCTTGAGACGTTATAAGTTGTCACCCGAGGCTTTCAGGCAAAGGTTCCGGTATGCTAAAAAGGGGAATGAGTCACACGTTGACTTCGCGTTTCGTCTTAAAGCCGATTTGATTGAATGGCTCAAGGGCGAAGGTGTTTATGACGACCGCGATAAAGTGGTGGAATGCGTTGCATTGGAGCAATTCTACCGCTGCATCGAGGAGGATGTCAAACCTTGGCTGGAGGATAAACTTGGTGAAGTACAGCTAAACAAGGCAGCTGAGTTAGCTGAGGAGTATTATACTCGCCGAAAGTTGCATAGCAGGGCAGTGCGCGTTGAAAAGGATGAAAGAAAGGAGGGCTTTTCAAAGAAACCTGATCAACGGAAACCCGCTCCGCACCGTAATTTCAAAAAGGACCCGTCTCTTACGAAGGACACTGTAGAGGAAGGGAAAACAGAAGCGGAAAAATCGAGTGAGGTTTCTAAACAACGCACTGATACCACACGGGCGTTTGAATCACGGAAGCCACTAATCTGCTACAACTGCAAAAAGGAAGGGCACATCGCGATAAACTGTAAGCAAAAGTTTGCTTTTGCAACAATTAGAGAATCGGAA